CGAAGTTTCACTATTGGTTTGTTTATGGAAACCAAACTGTTCCGTTTGTGTTGGTTTAAGATATCAGATGTATGCTACAAGACGCAGAGAAATATCCTTTTACCTGATGACTTAAAAAAGAAGATTTATCAACCTTCAACCAGTGCTGACACAGAAACAATGAAAAATAAGGCAAAGCCAATTAAAGAAGAAGTGAGAAATCGCAATACCTTTAGAACTAAAGCATTGATCGCCTCACTTATCTGACTTATTTACTCTTTTCAAGATTAAGTTTTTAAATGTAAATACCTTACAGATGTGAAATACTTACTCATCATGCATATTTGCACAATGGCGTTTATAATACACTGTTCAATTTTACTAGGGAATTAGTTTTCAGATCGTTATTAAGTTTTTGTATCAGAAACGAAAGCTGTTATAATATTAGTTTCTTATGCTTCCCTTCTTAATCAAAACATTGTAAATATTTTTCTTTCATGGTGTTTCATAATCCCATTTTTAACAAGGTTTTTGTGAGTGGTTTGTGATTTTCCTTACATTGTTATCGTGTTAGATACATACAACTAGCCAAAAAAGTTTGGAAAAATAGAATGGAAGCCAAGCAAAACTTTGTAAATCATCTAAGATAATCAAGGACCAATTCAGTGACTGGCTATGAGTAATCGAAAATAGATAATCCACAAGTGTATTAGCCTGCATAGCAAGCGTTTCCGTGCGAGTTCGTCGAGAAAGTTTGGACGAGAGCAAAAAAAAAAAGAAATGAGGGGGGAGGGGGAAGGGAGCGAAGGATTCTCCCCTCCCCCCCTTCCATTTTTTTTCTTGCTCCCGCTCTTACTTTCGCGCTATAACTCGACTGGAAACGCTTGCTACGCAGGCTACAAGTGTATGAAATCAATATGAACGAGCTATTGTTACAGAGTCAAAGTAAGATTTTTTAAATATTAAAAAATTTGGACCGAGAGTTGTAAACGGTCAACTGTTCAGTTTTCGTTTCAACAACGTAACATTGTATATTCATGACTACAGGAAACACAAGCAGCACTTACTTTTACAATTTAACAGTATAATTATGAGAATTATTGTATGTACAGCTTCTCCTGTATACAGTACTTGAATAAAAAGATTACTAAAACCGCTCGTTTGTACTTCTGAAGCGTCAACTATATTTCCATTTCTGAGAGTGCAAACTAGGCATATCCTGTTGAGATATAATTATAATTGGAAGTGAAACAAAATAAAGCCCTTCCACTTCACGGATACAAATAAAAATTGAATAAAACTCAATACAAACATGTGTGTCATGAATGTAGCGAAGAAGGTGAATTTTAATATAAAGCAACCTCGTTCCCAGGGTTCTCCGTGAGACAAATACGAGAGAACCCTGGGAACACGGTTGATTTTTTAGTGGCAAGAACAAGCTGAAGCAAAAGACGTTTTTGAGCGCTGCACTTCAACCAGCCGAAACTGAGGAATTTTCCCGTTCAATATGTCTCAACCCTACCAACTGTCTATTGCTAAGTTTCCTTACTCTTATATAGACGATTTGCCTGAAAATTTGGACACAACAGCTACCCAATAATGAAAAAAGTCCACTTTCGGTTGACGTGCGGCGCTAAAAAACGGTTTTGATTAAGAACCTTATTATCTCGCATCTCTGGGAGTAAATGAAATTTAGGAGAGTCAGAGCTCCGAGCTTTAGCCAGGTTAGACTTGAACTATCCACCCTCCGAGTTCTGGGCTAAGCCCTGAGGCTACTGAAGTCTGAGGCTGAACACTAACTAAAAGTTATTTATCATTGTCAAGTAAAAAAAAATCTACCTTGCTTACTCTTACTTCTCTTTTTAATGACCTAATGTTTTTTCTTGAATTAATAGAACATTCTTATTCTATTTTTTACTTGACAATAACGTCCGAGAACATCCAAACGTCGTCGTATATTTTTAACAATTTTAAAATTTGTGAAAATGTTTTTAACAAAAGTTTTTCCCATTTTTTATAGTTAAATTAAATATTTGTATTGAATTACTCAACCACTCTTTTTGTAAAATCTCTGAGTTTTAATACACTTGAAATGCATACAAGATATTTTTGAAAAAAGTAAGCCAGCTAGGTATTCTGTCCAAATACTGTTCGGATTGAATGCAGTTTTCAGTTTAACTTAATACACTTAAGATACACAATTCGGGTACTTTTTGAAAAAATGTCAGCTACCAAGGTATTCAGATAAAATGTTGTTCGGATTAAATGCAGTTTTCATTGTTTTATTTGTACCATAAATGTTTTAATCATCAGTTAACAGGCTGTGCCACAATAACCTTGAACTCCTTGTAATTGGAGCTCTCTCCCTCTTTTGTGTCATCATCACGATCACCTGCTTCCATTTCATGACTGGTATCAATTTCATCATTGTCTTCGTTATGGTCCACCTCGACATTATCTCTCAAGGGTATCGCTTTGATGACGTTTTTTTCTTCTAAGCGCTTTGGTGCCATACCGAGGTTATTAACCTTTACATACTTGTTTCCTCCTCCAGAAATCTGACTGTTGCTTCCATGCTCTGACTCTTTACTGCCGGGTGACATGTCTTTTGAGTAATGATCGTGGACGTGATCATTAAAAGGTAGCTTGCTCTCACGGTAAAGCTTTCCAATACTCACATTCGGGTAATTCTTCAAGTACCGCTGTGCAAGTGCATACCACAGTATGTCTTCGGCAACATTGCCATTATCACCGTCAACATCTCCTGCCTCAGTTTGGTCATTTTCTTTATCGTGTTCTTCATCAGGATCATCAACTCCTTCATTGTCCTCTTCTTCGTCAATTTGATGATTTTCTTCTTCATCAACTCCTTCTTTTTCGTCTTCTTCAGGCTCCTGATCTTCTTCATTTGGATTATCCTCTTCATTGTCTTCATTATCGTTTGCATTCTCGGCTTCTTCGTAGACGTCATCTTCGTCAACCTGTTCCTCGCCTTCACCTTCTTTGACCTGTTCGCTGTTTTCTTCTTCGCCATCCTGCTCTGCATCTTCATTTTCTCCATCCTCTTTCGGCCCTTTATCTTTGTCGGCCTTTTCTTTGCCTTCAGCTTCATCAACGACGTTGTTGCTTTCACCTTCGTCAACCTGTTCCTTGGCTTTATCTTCGTCGACCTCCTCGCTATTTTTTTCTTCATCCTGCTCTTTGTCGTCACTTTCTTTATCCTCTTTCCACTCTTCATTTTCGTCAAGCCGTTTCTCGCCTTTGCTTTTGTCGACTGCTTCCTCGCTTGCATTTTCGATCTCTTCCTGGTCTTTGTCGTTATTTTCTCCCCCCTCTTCTTCTTCTTCTTCTTCTTCTTCTTCTTCTTCTTCTTCTTCTTCTTCTTCTTCTTCACCATCCTCCTCCTCATCTTCATTTTCGTCCTCCTCTTCATTCTCTTCCACCTCTTCAGCGTCTTCACTTTCATCAACATGTTCTTTGCCTTTTTCTTCGTCTTCCTCTTCATGGTTTTCTTCTTCACCATCCTCCTCCTCATCTTCATTTTCGTTCTCCTCTTCATTCTCTTCAGCCTCCTCAGCGTCTTCACTTTCATCAACATGTTCTTTGCCTTTTTCTTCGTCTTCCTCTTCACGGTTTCTTTCTTCACCATCCTCCTCCTCATCTTCATTTTCGTTCTCCTCTTCTGACTCTTCATTCGCTTCAACCTCCTCGATGTCTTCATTTTCATCAACCTGTTCTTTGCTTTTTTCTTCATCGTCTTCTTCACCATCCTCCTCCTCGTCTTCACTTTCGTCCTCCTCTTCGCCAACCTCCTCGGTGTCTTCAGTTTCGTCAGCCCGCTCCTTGCCCTTACCTCCTTCGTCTTCTTCACTGTATTCCTCTTCGTCAACTGGTTCTTTGCCTTCTTCAACCGGTACGTTCACCTCTTCCTCTCCGTCTTTCTCACTTCCTTCTGCATCCTCGTCGACCGCCGGTTCATCATCTTCACTCTCTTTTTCGTCATCTTCCTCAAGAGAATGTTTGTTACCATCTTCGTCGTCAACGCCGACAATGAAGCCGTCTTCGTCATCAGGTTGATCTGGATCACTCTCATCAACATCTTCTCGGTTAGCATTCTTGCCGAATAAGAATTTTTCAAATCCTTCAGCAAATCTTGACCATACACCGTCTCTATCACGCAGTGCCTCGCCGTTTGCGGTCATTTCGTCATTGGCAAATGAGGTCTCGCGATCATCACCCAGTTCACTCGCCCAAGAGCCAAGTTGATGATCATCCCAACTTTGATACTCACGCAAAGCTGTGCGTAAAATGAAAAAAAAAAAATCGGTTAAACAGTTGAGCCGAGAAGCAACTTTTAAAAAGTAGCATGTAGGACTAATAGAAAAATGCGCACCTTCATAAAATGGTACTGGAATAGGGCGGGCGTAAGTTCCCATTTGTGATGACACAAAAAGGAAAACTAAGCCCACCCAGAGCTTCATCCTGTTATCGATAAAACGCCTCTTTTTAGAAAAACTTTTTCTCCGCAGTTGTAATCTCACCTCACATGGGAAAACGCATCGAAAAAACTGATTCATACGTCACAGATAATTGCTTTATTGGCAAATTAAAGTGCTGCGTCATTAATAGCCATTACACAAGGAGCGCGCGCAATGAAAACCGTTCTACATGTATTGCAATGCTTTAAATTGCCTGAGACTTACTTTCAATTTTTAATAAATGAAATAAATTCGAGTTTACAAATTGTAAGAATGATACCGCGAACAGGTGCTTGGCAGTAAAGCATCATCTCCAAAACTATACACTGACATACACATTTTGCTTTATTACAGACCCTTTTATTGGGGCAGTTAATACTTGTGGGATAAAGGACTGCAAGGGAGTCGTCTTTGTGACTTGGGTCTTTATGGCCGGTTTACAGCCATACGGGAATAATTTGAAACTGTTTTCGCGCGCCACAATGTGTGAAATTTAGGGCAATTAGAATGACGCAATAAAAGTGTTACCGCTACCCAAAGACAATCTTAACAAACATAAATGCAGATTGTTGCGACTAAATAGCGAAAGCACAACCAACGAACCACAGGACACCCGAAGATTAGTGTGCTGCTCGCCCTCAACGAACGGTCAAGCCTGAATTCTTTACAGGTTCCTTTTCATCCGATTATGTTGATAAGTAAAAAAAAAAAATTCATCAAATTTACTTTCTTAAATCACCTTTCCCATTTTAGACTGTCCATACAATTCATTTCGGGAAAGTCGATAGGACTCCAATTTGCAGCAAAGCATTCCAGGGCTCATGTAATCTCCTCATGCAATTTCCTCGCGTGCTATTGTAAACGCCCCGCTTGATCCCTCATCTTTTTTTCTTCCTGTCTAGTAGCACTCGGGCATATTAATTTTCTTTTTACCTACGGATTAGAGCAGTGGGATGTGTTCTTCGTTTCCTAGTCATGTAATAACGAACATACTAACAAGGATATCGCGCCCTGCGTAATAAATTAGAATACTGCAAAATGTGACCAGTACCGGAAATAACTCTGTAATAGTTTGTTCGGTGACCTGAACTGATTTCTACCACAAAGACCGCCTTCAGTAAGTCAAAACTGGTCCAAGAGGGTGCAGGAAAAAGTAGAAAATATTGTTTACAAACATTTTGTTTAGTTTTCACTCCACCAGATATGGCTCATTTCTTATGGAAATATCTTCGACAAAGTTATCACTTGGGAAATACGCAAGCTAGAAAAGTTTCAGTTATTATCGTTTGACCTTACGTCGAACCCTAAATAAACAAAGTTGATGCAAACAAAACAGACGATAAGTTTAAACAACTGAATAAATACCTATTTATTTTTTCGTAATCTTTACATCATTAAATAACCAATACACTGTGGCAATTCCTACGAAACCTAAGATTCTTGCCGATAGAGTGCTGCAGTAGATAAGCTGTACGACGTTGCTGGGGGCAGTAATCTCTTTTTAGAAAAACTTTTTCTCCGCAGTTGTAATCTCACCTCACATGGGAAAACGCATCGAAAAAACTGATTCATACGTCACAGATAATTGCTTTATTGGGAAATTAAACTGCTGCGTCATTAACAGCCATTACACAAGAAGCGCGCGCAATGAAAACCGTTCTACATGTATTGCAGTGCGTTAAATTGCATGAGACTTACTTTCAATTTTTAATAAATGAAATAAATTCGAGGTTACAAATTGTAAGAATGATACCGCGAACAGATGCTTGGCAGTAAAACATCATCTAGAAAACTATACACTGATATACACATTTTGCTTTATTACAGACCCTTTTATTCTGGCAGTTAATAGTTGTGGGATAAAGGACTGCCAGGGAGTCGTCTTTGTGACTTGGGTCTGTATGGCCAGTTTACAGCCATACGAGAGTGAAACTGTTTTCGCGTCCCACAATGTGTGAAATTTAGTGAAATGTGTCAAATTTAGATAATCTTGACAAACATAAATAATCTTGACAAACATAAATCCAGATTGTTGCGACTAAATAGCGAAAGCATACCCAAGGAACCACAGGAAACCCAAAGATTAGTGTGCTGCTCGCCCCCAACGAACGGTCAAGCCTGAATTCTTTACAGGTTCCTTTTTCATCCTATTATGTTGATAAGTAAAAAAAAAACATTCATCAAATTTGCTTTCTCAAATCACCTTTCCCATTTTAGACTGTGCATGCACTTCATTCCAGGAAAGTCGATAGGGCTCTAATTTGCAGCCAAGCATTCCAGGCCTCATGTAATCTCCTCATGCAGTTTCCTCGCGTGCTATTGTAAACGCCCCGCTTGATCCCCCATCTTTTTTTCTTTCTGTCTAGTAGCACTCGGGCATATTAATTTTCTTCTTACCATCGGTTTTGAGCAGTGGGATGTGTTCTTCGTTTCCTAGTCATGTACTAACGAACATACTAACAAGGATACCAAGCACTGCCCAAAGAAATTAGACATCTGCAAAATGTGACCAGTACCGGAAATGACTCTGTAATAGTTTGTTCGGTGACCTGAACTGATCTCTACCACAAAGATCACCTTTATTAAGTCAAAACTGGTCCAAGAAGGTGCAGGAAAAAGTGGAAAATATTGTTTACAAACATTTTGTTTAGTTTTCACTCGACCAGATAAATATTGGCTCATTTCTTTTGGAAACGTCTACGACAACGTTATCACTTCGGAAATACGCAAGCTAGAAAAGTTTCAGTTATTATCGTTTGACCTTGCGTTCAACCCTAAATAAACAAAGTTGATGCAAACAAAACAGACGATAAGTTTAAGCAACTGAATAATAACCTATTTATTTTTTCGTAATCTTTACATCATTAAATAACCAATACACTGTGGCAATTCCTACGAAACCTAAGATTCTTGCCGATAGAGTGCTGCAGTAGATAAGCTGTACGACGTTGCTGGGGGCAGTAA